CCCCAAAACCCCAAAACCCCAACACATAATTACAATAAAAATAAGCTATTTAATTAAAATTTATAAAAATATATTCGAATTAAAATTCTTAAATAAAAATATAAATTTGGGAATGAGTATTTGCTATTATCAAAGAATGAAAGGCAATAAAGCCTTGTGAATTTTATAATTTATTGATTTCATCTTGGAACAGCCAATTTCCATTGAATAATAGTTTGATCCATACCACCGATAGATATCAAGTACTCCCCCTCATTCATAAATTTAACTTTAGTTACATGTTCACTATGTCCTCTGAATGATCTTGCAGCATGTTTATTGGTTCTAACTGGGTTTCTGTATATATTTACAAGACCATAATCATCGCCTGTGGCTATAATTTGATGCTTATTGCACTGATCAACTGTATTGATATGTGTACCATCGCATCCCTCTGGATATATACCTTCAACATTCCATCCTAATTTGCATGTTTATGTCGCCCATTATGTTCTAGTAGTGTTGCTAGCTCCACTTTTGTCCTATTCTCTACTTCTTACATTGAAAAACAAAAGTTCATAAGCCCCACAATTAGATCTAATATATTCTGAATCTAAAGACCAGTCAAGCGCTGTAATAAAAGAAGAATGAGCTTTGAGAGCAAAGCATTTAAGGTACTTCTCATTAGTTTTATCAATAGTATAAACGTATATATTGTTATCATGAGACCCTACTGCAAGCTTGCTACCAGATGGATCGTAACTCATACACTCGATCCACTCATTTGGTTAAACCAAATAGTCAATTACATTATTGAGATTTTGCTTTTCACCAAATTAAATTTTCCTTATTGATACCTTTCCAAGATTATCAGCTACAGCCAAATGCTAATACTTCTAACAATATGCTAGTGCTCTTGATTATCTTTCAGGTGGTTCATTACTTGTTGTTGAGGCTCCTCCTTGTCTGTTAGGATTAAGTTGCTATTATTTCTTTTCTTCGTTAGTTGATATCTCTACATTCCCAGATTGCACCATTTTCCTATCCGAAATGTCATACATATATAATTTGTTATCATCTCCGCTAGTAATAAATTTTTTTTAATCCTCGATCAAGCAAAGTCCCCATAGTTCACCATCGTGATGTGAGTGCATAATTTCTTCTTTACCTTTAGAAGAAACTTCTCTCTCCACAATAGTTCCGTTCTTGAACCCAACCAGTAGAAACTTTTTGCCAAAGTCTACACTCTTTGGGATTTGTTCTGTTTCCAGATTGAATAAAATTTATAATCTGTCATTACCTTGTAAAGGTTAAGGATTAATGATTTTGATAGTATGATCTGAAGCCCCTGTGATAAGATAAAACGTATTAGTTCCCATCTGCTAAACAAATCTAATGCAATAGATGATTCCATCATGCATTTTTTATGACATAGTCATGCTGTTTCTATTCCATTTCATAACGCTTCCATTTTAAGCACCTGTGTAAAAATTACCATCCAAATCTGAAGCGACGCATAATAAATTGGTTCCTTAATTCTCATTTTTCAATGCACCATTCCATTTAACACCTTTTGCATCCCAAAAACTTATGTGTTTAGGTCCAACTGAGAAAAATTCATCTGCTTTTCTACTCCATTCAATCATAAATATCTTAGAGCCTCCAGTCTTTTTGGTGAAAATAACTTGTCCTGTCCTCCAATTATGTACATAAACGTTGTGATCATTACTGAAATCAGCAGAGGCTATTAATGAAGAGTCTTTATTAAAAGCAATAGCAGTCACTGATCTTGTTCCTTTGGGCAATCTAAACATTCCCTTCTTTTCAGCGTTAAATGAATCCCATACAAAGATAATAGGTGAATGCCCAACTTAGCCAGTGGCACACATAGTTCTTTCAATGTTAATGCACAAGCACATGATATCATCAGTATGAGCATTGATAGAGTTATCAACTTACTTTCGAACCATTTCGAATGTCTCTCCTCCTCCGAAATATTTCTAATACTTATTATTTCCAGGTTTATATATAACTCCTAATGCTGCTGTCATATACACTACTTCATTTTAGTTGTTGTAGAAGCAATTCTATCTAACTTCTTCATTTTTATATCCATACACGAAGTCGATTTTGTAAGTTACATCTGGCATAGTTGGGTTGATAGGAGGATGACTATCAGGCTTCTTTAGTGCTCCTTTCCAAGGAAGACAGGCCATTGATTCATCACCGTGACCAACATCAACATGTTCAAATAAATCCTGCAGATCTGTATCAAGTTGGATGTCTTTAACATCTGGCCCCACATCTTTCTTATTCTTATGCATGCTTCTAATCAAATCAACCTTTAATACATTTCCGTCTAATTCATTTAACAAAGTGGGATCCTCTTAAAACCCAGGCGCTTATTTTTTCGCTCTAAAATTGAATGATCAAATCATCGAGGAACATTTTAGCTTACTTTCTTTAGACCTGTTGAATCTAGTTTCTTATTGGTTATTCAATTCTAGTTTAAAGTGGTGGTTCTTCAATTCTAGACTTAGGTTGTTTGCCAATATCCATCTTTTGAGAAGGTAATTTTTCTTTTTTTACAAAAACATCGTTTTACTATGGCGGCTAAGTCCTTTGTTCTTGATGTTTCTCAACAATTTACTATAATGATAATTAAATTGGTCAAGTATACTGATTCAATCGTTCCTTTAGTTTGTGTACAACCCATTAATTTTATACAATTTTAAAATATTTAGAATATTTTACATTTAGCAATTTTATGCATAAGGGGTTTTGGGGTTTTGGGGTTTTGGGTTTTG